TTGCAAATCATAATAGCAGTGCCTTCTAAAAAAGTAAAAGAGTTGGACCAATAATAAATAAGTAACTTATTGTTACAAAAAAAGTGGTTATATTTGTTAGAGATTTTTGTTTCTGTGATGCTTGCAATGAATATGTCATGATTGAATCAGTAATCCTATTATACTTCTCTCTTAGTAGATTCATTAAAGCCTTAGAAATTGTGTGTAGTAATAGTTAGGTTGAGATGATGTAGAGTTAAATTTGATAATATTAAAAGAGAATTATAATTAGAGATTAAGAAATAATTATCAAAAAATAAATTAGATGAAATAGAAGTAAGATTAAAGGAGTTAGATTTGAGAGGAAGATTATAGAATATAGATAGAAGATATGGAGTAATAACAATATGATCTAGTAAAAGAATGTCATTAGAAAGTTATATATGTGTTTTATTATAAGATAAATTAACAGAAAATGTAATACAAAATACTGTTTTGTTGTTATTATATTTATCAATATATTGAATTAAAGTTTGAATAGTTTGATCAAAAGAGAGAAGTGGTAAATTGTAATGAAGAAGAAATTTGTTAAAACATGTATGAGATTATAGAAGATTAAAGATGTTATAAATGATCTTTCAAAATTGTCTTTTACAGGATCGATTACTGTATGCTCAGCTTTTACAGCTATGCAAGATACTATAGTCTGTTCTGTATGTTGGATCTGACTGTCATTATCCTGAACTTTCACATAAATAGACTTGTCCACCTGTTCACTTATTTCATTTTTTTTATTAACTACAATGGTAATATCTTTTAATAAGGTGATGTCTGCTTTAATGTTGGTTGTAGAAGACAAGAAAATTAAAAAGAAGACTGTAAAAAAAGAGAGTTAAGGATAAAGACTAGTTGGAAGTCAAGATTAAATTTTTTTAATAAAAATTTTTTAGCTATTGAATAAGTAGTATCATTAAAATATTTAACAATTTGTAAATATGTTGGCTTTTGGTTTTTAATGACATCAAAGTATATAATAATTTGAGCAAGGAATTTGGTGTCAATAATGTTTTTTGTTAAAAGATTAATAGTCTTTTTCTTGGACAGAGACTGTATATTATGATTTTTAGCAACAGTTCAGTAATAAAGTGAGAGATAACACTAGAAATAATAATTACAATATTTGAGATTAGTTTTAACTTTATATTGTTTACAAACAAAGTTTTTAGCTTGATTAGCTAGTTTGTTCAGAGCTTTAGTAGAAATAAGTTAATCAAGTAAAACAGCATATTCCTTGTTTTTATGAAATAGTGTGGCATTAAGGGTTAGATGAATCCATGTTTTATCATCTTGAGGTGAAAATAATAATCATGATTTGGTTAGAATGTGTCGCAGTCATATTCAACCACTGTCTTTTAGCAACTAGGAAAATTAGTACTTGACTGCACAAAGGTAAGGTTTTTTACGTTGCATATATTTTTATTATCAACTTTTACTTAAATTCCCATCTCACTAACATTTATTGTCTTTTCACTCTATTTATATATGTATATCTTTGACTCTATCTCCCTCTATGTCACAATTTTGTCATATGCTATTTAACTCTTTTATTTATTACGTAACAAATTGATCATACGATATTTAACTTCTCTTAATTGCATATTTATTATGCAGCTTAATTGATGCTTAATTGATCTTTAATTTTTTATCATAATTATTCTAACTAATCGTTCCCTGTGATTCGATCCACAATCCATGTGACCACAAAACCATATTTCGAGCACAAGGTTGTTGAGTTCAACTCTTATTTATTTACTTACTATAGTTATTTATTTGTTTGATATGTATTATACATAACCTTCCTCTATTGTTATTCCCTTCACCATATAATCTAGGCCCCGAATTTGCTCAAAGAACCGATCTTGACTATGACAGAAGCTAGACCCATTTTGACCTTTGTCCCCGAAGTCAACACCTCCCACGGTCAGTTCAGCTCTTACAAATTTCGTCCTATTTTGTAATTTCTTGACTCTATTCCTGGTAAAGGCTTCGCATAGCTTGCATCCATCTACCTCTGCCAAGTAGTACTGACCATGCCTCTCTATTTTATTTACTACGTAGGGTCCATTCCATCGATAGTCGAATTTTCTCAGTGGCTTATCAAGGGTGGAATCGTAAACAAATACTAGTTCTCCTACACTGATGGGCTCTTTATTCTTAACACTATGCTTGTCATGAAACTCTATCTACTTCATCTTTACTGTATCTTTCTTTTCTTAGGCTTCGTTCAATTCGTGTGTTAGACCTTTCATTTGCTTAATTCGGAATTCAAGTAGTTCATCAGTTGTCCACTTTCTCTTGGTTATCATGACTTGGTAACTTTCTATCATTAATTCCACGGGCATAACTGCATCATAACCATAAATTAACTGAAAGAGCGAATAACCCAAATCATTCACAGTAATATTTATGGCCCAGATTGCTTTGTGCATGTATTCATGCCACTTGTTTTGCTTTTTAGCACATGCCTTCCTTAGAATCCTGGTCAACTTCTAGACCATTCTTTCTGCCTTCCTGTTGGCTTCAGGGTGATAGCTACCAGAGAAGCTATGATTAGTTTCAAGCCGTATAGTGAGCTCACCTATTATTCCATTTTTAAATTCCATTCCATGATCTGAGATTAGTTCTGCAAAGCACCCATGCCGTAATATGACTTCTTCCACAAAAACTGGGCTATATTCTGGGAAGTCTTTCTTCTCAGAGCTCGACCCTCCATGAAATCTGTCAAATCTTTGACAGTAACGACTATATGTTCATGCCTAGCAGATGTTCGCGGTAACGGTCCTATGCAGTCAACGTAAATTTTATTGAAGATCCAACTTGTTGCTGTCACATATATAGGTTCAGATGGCATTTTTGGTGCACATTTTTGACATGCTTCACAGGACGAGACATACTTCTTAACATCCTCATACACTACTCCTGTTGCTTACATGTAATTCATCAGGATTTTTTGAGTTACTGAATTTATTCCCCGATGTCCTCCTTCTTCTGCCAATCCTTCATGGTTCGCCTTGAGAATCTACATCTTTTCTTTGTCATTAAATATTACTCTTCGTAGTGGTCTCCTCTTTTCTGCTCTTCTGTACAGCTGACCATCAATTAGACAATACTTTCATATTTTTTGTCGAAACTGTTTTAAATCCACACTGCTTGCGTAGGGAGGCCAAGAAAAGGTCTACAAGTAGATGCGAACCACCTCCAAGTCTGTTACCTTAATATCTTCTAGGTTTACACACAGTATCATCGAATATATGAACTCCTCATCATGATCGGTCTCATTTTCAAAAGAGCCAAGTGACCTGGACATTCTATCTGCATTTCTGTGTTTCTTACCTGGCTTATATCGGACGCAGAAATCAAAAGATTGCAGTGCCAGGACCCATCTTATAAGTTGCCCTTTCAACATTGCTTTATTAAATAACCAACTTAAGGCCTGGTAATCCACCCATACATAGTGCTCATTCACGTTACAGCCGAAGACTATACCCAAACATTCCATTTCCATCACAGTGTAGTAACTTCGTGCTTGTTTAGTTTTTATAACTCAAAAGACACTGCCCTTAACTTCTGTACCTCATCCTTTTGTTCCAACACCACACCAAGTGCAATATCACATGCATCAGTAAAGAGTTGATAGGGACAAACCCCATCACATGCCCCCTGCCAATTCAGCCCTTTTAACACAGTTTCGTCTAACAAAGAAGCCTTCAAGATATGGAAAGCTTCATCTTGTGCTTTTCCCCAATGAAATCCAACTTCTATTCTCGTCAAGTCTATTAAAGGCTTTGCAATTTTGCTAAACCCTTTTATAAATCATCGATAATAGTTCATTACCCCCATAAAGGATTGCACTTGTTTGAGAGTTGTAGGTTTCTTCTATTCTCTAATCTTTTCAACCCTTGCTGGATTTGCTCTAACTCCTTCCTTACTAACCACAAAACCATACATGCACAACTCCTTATATAGAAGAAAGCACTTCTTCGCCACAAACATCAATCCAGCATCCTTAAATTTTTTCGCCAATTTGATGAATATTTCAGTATGGAACTCTTTTGTACCACTGGTCCATAATTCAATATCGTCTTGGTATGCTGTCACAACCTTTTTCCATTTTTCCACTTCTAATATGATGTCTATTAAATGCTGAAAAGTTTTGCTAGCGTTCTTAAGGCCCATACACATCACAGCATATCGAAGTGTGCCTAATGACGTGGAGACGGTAACTTTATCTCGATCCTCCTCTCGGATACGGATTTGCCAGTATCCCTTAAACGCATTCATGCATAAATACCAATCATGACTAGCTGCCTTTTCAAGCATATCTCTTATTAATGGCAATGGGTAGCTGTCTTTTATAATATGTTTGTTGAGGGGTCTCATATCACCGATGCTGTGAAAACAATCCGTACCACCCTCTTTTTTTCTTACTGGGAAACAGTATATGTGTATTGTCCTGTTCCCTTTTCCAGCAACCCATACTTCAACATCTCCTTTAAGTGTTTCTCAAACAATTTGGCATGTTCTGGGTTGTTGATTCATATAGGACACATTCGTGTTGGAGGTATTATCTTCCCATCTGTGCGTATCTTATACTGAACCAGATCTGTTTTTCCAATCTCAGATAAGTCAAAAGCAAACACATTTGGTATTTTCTTAATCAACCGTTCTCGTAATAGTTGTTTCTCCATTTCAGATAGAGAATTACCAATGTTCACCATGCTGGAGTTCTCTTTCGTGAGTCGCATTATTAACTCCGGTTCCATCCCCTTAATTGTTCCATCTTCCTTTTCATCTTCCTTTAACAAACATACCACTCTTCCTTCATGTTTTTGACTGATCACATAATCAATGTTTGTACCACTGATCTCTCTTACTATTAGGTTGTTAACATTCGAGCCCCCATACAAGATGTTATCTAAGTGTCATTTGGTACTCACAGGCTCCTGTGTTTCAATTTCTATTCATCGCACTTCCAACAAATCTTCAGCATCATCCTCTTCACCTTCTTTGTTCCCATTATCATAATTTATCCAACTGTTTGGTACTACCGAGGTTATAAATGCTGCCCTCCCTTCTTCTGATTCAACATTATACCAAAGTTTGTTGTCCTTCCATTTTAAACTGCATTTGGACACAGCCAACCAGGGCATGCCAA